TACCAATATAGCTAATTTTAATGTTTGTGGAATTTAATTTTGCTGGTGTAGGTGTGTACAGTTGATGCACCCATTACTTATAATGCTTTGCGGAATTAAATTGTGTGTTTTTATGATGAACAGCAAACAGCAAAATTAAATTCCAGCAAATATTTCCAGCTATACGGTATGTACTTTTTTCTCCCCCTCTCTCTCTACAGGAAAGGGATAATCGTGTCTACCTAGCTATGATCCACAGGGTGTTAGATACTGCTGGTTTCTATTACTCTTATTCTTATGATATCACTCATACCAAGCAAAGACTCCACCAGCTGTCAACTGATAATAATGGATTCTATCAACTGCCTTTATTCAATAGAGTGAGTGTTATATCTATATTTAGTAATGTATCATTATTGTGCTTGGATAAAGTGTATTTTACCAGCATGTCCCCTTCTCTTTTCCCTCTCTCTCTCCTCCCCTCCCTCACTCCCTCCTTCTCTTTCTCCCTCCCTCTCTCTCCCTCTCTCTCCCTTTCTCCCTCTCTCCCTCCCTCCCTCCCTCCCTCCCTCCCTCCCTCCCTCCCTCCCTCCCTCCCTCCCTCTCTCCTCTTAGGCTGATGAAAGGTTTGTCTGGAACAGTCATTTATTGAGGGAGTTTGTAGCCCAGCCTGAACTGGACCAGTTTTGTGTCCCCCTCCTTCACGGGTTCATATCAATCAAGAACATTACAATCAATGGGAAACTCTTCACCTTTCATCTAATCTCTAGAAGAAGCTGGCACAGAGCAGGTAATATTATTAGATATTGATATACAATGTATATGTACATGTATACTGGGCTACTAGTGACAATAGTGTCTTTGTTTTATGTGTTCACGTGATAGAAACATGCCCAATACATATGAGTGTTGTTATACTATTAACAGTCTGTGATACTACCAATGGAGTATGTCACTATTGGCAGCCTGACACTTAGTCCTTCTTCACCCTCTCTCAATGAATATACATGTACATGTAATACATTGTGTCCATGCTCACTTTAACCTGTTGGTACCTGCTGTAGCTTTTAATAAAAATGCGGTAGGAATGATGGATAGTCTTTTAGTAAAAAGAGCTCTTCAATGTAGTACATTAATTTATATGATGTACAATGTACATTGTCTGGAACGGTCATTTATTGATGGAGTCTGGGCCAGTTTTGTGTCCCTCTTCATTCATGGGTTTGTATCAATCAAGAATATTACAATTAGTGGAAAGATATTGACATGCCATATCATATTTACCTGTAGACGCTGACATAGAGCAGGTTAGAGAGAGAGAGAGGTTAAATATTATTACATTCAGTTTAAGAGAGGACACTATGCCCAACTCTTGTCGATAGTCAGAGGTCAGAGTGTTGGCCACAGTCGGTTGAATCTCCTAGTCTGCCTACCCGCCTAGACTTCTTTCCTGGCTATCTTCCTTGCATCCCACCCCCAGCCCTCCATCCACGACTCAGAACACCAAATATCATACCATGCAACAATATAAAGAAGTTTTTACTATTACTGTGCTAGCATGTATAGCCGTGGTGAACAGCGAGCTAGGAGAGAGAGAGAGTGTGTGTGTATGTGTGTGTGTGTATTGTGTGATTAGCATTAAATATAAAATGGACAGAAACATGTACATGTACAAGGTCATGTTTAAATTCTTATTTTATCAAACGTGTGGAGTGTGTGGTTACTATCAGCAGCTAATGTCACTGCCAATATGAACACGTAGTACCTACTCTATTGGCTATTATGACACGTTTTATGCCAACATGTACTACTAAATGTACTATAGTCTTGGGTACATGTACATATTCATGTACTGTATATCCATTATGTGAGACAGAGCTCTAGCTATGATGTGTTTAGAAGTACATACTTATAAATGTTCAAAGTGTGGTATCAAAGTGTCCATTATACATGTACATGAATGCTTAAAGATTCTACCAAGTACCAACACATTTTTACTAAGACATATATTAAACCATTGACTGTTGACAGTATCACTATTACACTTCCTTTACTATATGAGTCATTTATGTGCATGATACTGGCCTAGTAAGAACATGATGAATGTGTACATGTGATAGAAACATGTACTTGTGTCATAGAAAGTCATTTCTAATTTGTCTCTGAGTGCATGAATGTTGTTACTATTAACAGTCTGTGATATTGTTCTAATGTAGTAACTGACTATTGACAGTATCTCACTGTATGCCAATGGACTAATAATGTTTTATTAATAATAAGTGTATAAGTGTAGTATAATGTATGTACATGTACATGCATTGTGAATTAATGCTTCTAACAGCTGTCTCTCTCTCTCCTACTGTATGCTAATGGTTCTAGACTTTAGTTGTAGTTCTTATCTA